TGGCAGGAGGTTTCGAAGATTCGTCCATGGGCCAAGCTGGTACAAACGGGATTCGCGCGCTATCCTTCACGAGTCTTAAATGGACCATTTTGTTTCCCACTAGCGGGGGTTTAACTCATTAATCAGTAAAGTGATTCGACTAAAAACACAAAAGCATTCTCCTAGAATATCGGGAATTGGATCCATGGATATCACATATGTTCAGCGTAGCTCAGGGGCAATTCTTAATTAACATTTTGACATCTTGTGCCCATCACTGGTCCACCACATTAGGTTATATTTGTGAAAAAGAGCATGTTCCAAGTTAAACGAAAGCAAGGGAAACTAAGAACACTCGATGGCCTTATAAGCGTTTCGCTACCCAGAATAAGTTACAACGCGCGTGGATTTTAGTTTAGAAGGGTGTTTATCATAGAGTCGGAGAAAAGTGATTGTAATGAATACTCACTCACCTCAATAATGTCACCAAGTGCACAGGAAGAAACACCATCAAACTAGTATACTGCAAGTTGGTGTTTGCTGCAGGTTGCACCCGAAGGTTACTGCCAGATTGCCTAAGGCTAGACAGGGGAAGTCGAGAGGCAGAGGTCGGGTTCGAACCACGGACCTTCCGGTAAGTAAACTCGCGCTCTACCACCTGCTGGTGGGTCTACACCCTGTATTCGATGACCGTATCATTCAGGTGTGATTTTGCTAGACACGACTAGCTTTCCGATGCGCTTTGCAAGTATCTACTTGACAGCTTGAGCCGAACTTGTGGATTAGAACTAACGAAGAAATAAGTGTGTAACACGTTCTTTAAACACCATATGTATGCAGAAAACATATTGCCATTGCAGAAGCACGGCGAAATAATAAGACCAGCCTCTCAACTTGTTCTTGATATCCTGATGGCTACAGTGAAACAGTTATTTAATTTTATGTGGTTGCGCGGTTTAAAGGGCTCGCATTCACACCACTTCCCTTCTGAACAACCCTCCCAACTGTCCAGGTGGAGTTATTTAGATGAGTCCACATCAAAGACAGGAAGCACTTGGTCTGGGTTTCACACCTAATAAAGCTCTTCATGGCCTTGCCGTCGTTTGAGCTCCATATATCTGACGTGCTATGCGAACATGTTATTACCACTCCACCAGCGCACTGTGTTCAGTAAATGATCTCAGTTAAACAGAGAGCGGCCATTTGGTTCCTGTTGAGAATACAGCGAGTTATCATTCACCAGATTTAGGCGGTTAACGAAACGTGGTAGCAGCCATGAGCCCTTCAAATATCAGTCAGTTCCTCTCCCAACTAGAAGTGTGAAACTACACATATATTGATGAAAACAAGCTGACAGTCAACTATCGGTTCACCCTGTTTGGCACTCTTTAGGTAGGCTTGGTTCTCAAATCTTAGCTACTGTCGACCGAACTGAACACTTGAACCAAAGGTTTGCTTGAAACTGTCGTTAATAATGACAGATTAGGCAAAGTAAGCGCAACTACCACGAAGCAGCCAAAATTAATGAAGCTTTTTAAGACCGTCAATCTGACGAGCATGACAACAGAAATATCGATTCTTTCTTGGAACAAGTGGCCTAGAAACTTGACGTGTCTAAAATCAGCATTACTGCTGTCGAGTCCCTTACGACGGTATCTCATCAAACCACTTTTCTGGGTGTAATAATACTTTCGGTCCTTTTGTTTTTCCTTTGCACGAAAAGAAAAACAGAACTTCTGCGTACCGATGAGGGCACATCAAAGAGAGAGGCAATCTGGTCCAGTTTTTACTACCTTTGCTCACTTGGTCACGCATTCTGACATTTATTTTCCGTTTATAGCAGTTTATATGGTGTTTTGAGTTCCACTGTATGAAGAACGAAAATGACGCTGCGCGTATGCAGAGTTAGTCATCGCCCGTGGTGCCTCCCCATGTTCGGCGACAGTGTGATCTAGGAGGAAACACTTACTTGTTTATTTTGATACATATTTGAAAGAAATCACCCACTTCGCTCAAAAATCTTCGCAAAACTTATCCAGAAGGCATCGCTAGTCAGCCTATTTTAGCTTCTCGCGGTGAGGTCAAATCCGGGTCATTTCCATCGTACTATCAACTGGCATGCCCGGAACGGGGACCCCCCATCGAAAGTTTCATTCGACAAGTGAACGAAAATTGTGATTAAGTTTCGTAAATTCACGGCAGGTGGACGAAAAGTGGTAAATACTCGTATAGACGTAACATACTACTCATGGGGTTGCTGTAAAAAATTCGACATCATAAACGAGAAATTCCAGGTTATTCTTCCGCAAATTGGTTTGAAAATGAGTGTATTTCGCTAAAGAATGCTACCGTTCTGGCCACACGTACCGTACAGAAATAGCTGCACAAAACTCTGGGAAAGTGTTCGAAACATAAGGGTTGTATTCAAGCCACAAGTTATTCAATAACAGATTCAGTTTTGTTCCTTCCCTGAAACGATGTGTCGTACTTGGTGTTTGCGTGAAAAAATGGTTAAGAGGGAAGTGTAGACGACCAGCACAAAACTCGAAAGTCGGGTGTTCTTACCGAGAAATCAAGTGAGAGGAAGGTCGCTTAACGGTTGTTGCAACCAGTGAAAGAAAACTCACCTCATATCTTTGTAATGTACTACTCATAAGGTTGCTGAAAATCCATCGACAGCCCACGACCGGTTTCGCCCTTCTTGGAGCTCATCAGGTAGGCGCAGTCCCCGGTCCGTCAACGTTATGTTCTACTCACCTCATTTGCACTTTAGATTGGTGAATACATGAGGCTTCACGTTCGACAATTTGAAAGTTACTAGTACAATTAAGGGCTACGAAACATTTTGAAGGAACATCACAAGCGAGAGATTCAGCTGGGTTCCAGGCGAGTCTCTCGCGAAACCAAATTGGTTTTCAAATGAGTGTATATTCGCTAATTTTGTGCAATTTGGTTTCAAGTAGAACATAAGGTTGACAGAAACCCGGGGACTGCGCCTACCTGATGAGCCCCAAGAAGGGCGAAACCGGTCGTGGGCTGTNGAGTTTTCAGGAACCTCGTGAAGTAGTTTCCTTTATGAAAATATATTGCGATATCTCGAATATCGTGCCAACTGAAACATGAGGCGGCCTGTGTGCAGCACATTCAGTCGTAGAATGTCATAAACCAGAGCTTCAGTTGAGTCTCTCGTAAAAACCAACTTGATTCGCAAATGAGTGCATTTCTCGCAAACAGTCTAATTTGGGTTCAAGTAGAACATACGGTTGACGGAAACCCGGGGACTGCGCCTACCTGATGAGCCCCGAAAAGGGTGAAACCCATTGTGGGCTGTCTACGGATTTTCTACAACCTTACGAGTAGTGCATTACAAGTATTTTGCAATAAGATTTCAAGGTCTGGTTGTTCGATTTCACTTCATTCTGTTCTTTCTCAATTCCTAGTTACGGCTCACTAACGAGAGCACTCATTCTCTATTTCGGAATTAAGCCATGAGAATGAATCATTCCCCGGAATAGTGTAAAGTGTTTATTTCCAGAAAAATGAGTTCCAAAGAGGAATGTGATACTAAACAGTGCTGACCCACCGTACACGCAACCACTTTCCTGTGGAATGCCACCGTTTTTGTGGTGACGCCAGAGTAGCGATACCAATTCCTTCGAGTTGGTGACCGGAATCGAAGGTTTTGTTGTGCACCACGTGACGAACGTATGGAGAGGGGTAGGCTGTATTGGCAGTGCGCCAAGATGTAAAAAATGGAAGTCGGAAACTGCAAGTATACAAAACCCTGGGTGTTTGATCAGGAACGGTGTGAAATCTATCCGGCAGTTTTTGAGAGCGAAGAAATCTGACGGTACAGCAACGACAGCGGTGAATACGATGGGAGCCAGGTTTCTCTGGTCGTCCAAAATGGCGGTACGTTCACTCTTTCATTAGTCTTTCATGAACGATTACGAAACAGTTTTCATATTACAGCCGTCCTTTTCGACCTTTTATGGTCTTGATTTGATACTGACCACCTTGCACGTATCAAACAATAGACTTTTTTGTACTTGCACAACATATTTGGCGATGAGGGAACCTGGACGTGATCAAACGCCATGATTGTTCCAGCCCGTGTCCGGGGCAGATTTGTGGTGTCATTGCCTTCCAATAACATTACCTCACAGAAATGAATAAAGGCTAAACCTTTGTAATGTACTACTCCTAAGGTTGCTGAAAATCCGTTGACAGCTCACGACCAGTTTCGTCCTTCTGGGGGCTCATCAGGTCATCGTCATCATCATCAAAGACAGCAACATCAGTGTTGGCACTGATGCTTCACTGCCGTACAGGTAGGCGTAGTCCCCGGGTTTCCGTCAACCTTATGTTCTACTTGAAACCAAATTGCACGAAATTGGCGAATATACACTCATTTGAAAACTAATTTAGTTTCTCGAGAGACTCACCTGGAACCTAACTGCATCGGGGAGTGCGCCTATCTGATGAACCCCAAAAACGGGCGAAACCGTTCGTGGGCTGTCGACGGATTTTCAGCAACCTTATGAGTAGCACATTACAAAGATATACATGTATCGCGATATCTCCAATATCGTAGCGATTGAAACGTGAGGCGGCCTGGTGCAGCACCTTCAGTTGCTAGTTTCCTTGCTTCAGCCTGATTGTTTGTTTCTTTTTTCTTTGTCCGCCTCTGCATTTTGTATTTCCGTAATTCTTTTGTTTGCAGTGGCCGATAGATTAGATCGATTTCGATGTGTTTGTGGATGGCCTTTTCAGCTAAATGACATGCTTCTATGAATTCACGTTTTTTCTTTGTTTTCGCTTGAGCCAATATGTAAACGGTGCTCAAGCTAAATTCGTGTCCATCTTGCTCTTCGTGTACGGAGATGAGCAAAAATTGGTTGTCTTTTGGTTGCAAGTTTCTGTTTATTTATCCTGGTAAAAAGCTTCCTTCCTGAGGCCTGAAAATATCACAAACGAGAGATTCAGCTGGGTTCCAGGTGAGTCTCTCGAAAAACCAAATTAGTTTGCAAATGAGTGTATATTCGCTAAAGACTAAACCTGTCCGCATTCCAATGAAAGGTCGAAAGGAATGTTGGATAAAATTAGGATTTTCGGGGATCATTCAGGCAGTACATCAGTTTCGCACACAGGGATAAAGTCTCCGATCTACGGTGCTGCATTCGTGACAAATCTCCAACAGAATGGTTTCACTAACCCCCCGTAGTCATAGTGTGATGACCGGGAGGTCCTTGGCTCGAATCCAACCCTGGTATCTTGACTACTCCAGTCTGGGTTTGAGCAACCTGGCATTTTTTCAGTCCTAGTGCTTGATTCGTGTGGCATGGCATCTAATCACCTCAAGGGTGTTAAAACTGAACGACTATTATTTTTTTCCATATTTATTTTTGATCGAACATCACTCACCAGCAGTCACATGTATTCTGCCTAGACGAGATGTACTCCGAATCTGGAATGTCATCTGTTGTTATTCACGTGACGAAAGTGCGTACGACAAATGTGAGTCTGTCATATTTGGCATCCTCCTCATCTGACCATTTCTTTCTGGTTCCTTGGGAAGTATATGACAAAAATTCAAGAAGGTCCGCGGTTCGAATCCGACCTCCGCCACTCGACTTCCCCTGTCTAGGCTAGGGCAACCTGGCAGTATCCCAGCCCTCGTGCTCCCTTCGGGTGGCATGGCAGCTAGGCACCGGAAGGGTGCTACAGCTGAACGCATTAAAAGAATCGTTCAGCTGTAACACCCTTTCGTTGTCAAGCTGTCATGCCACCCGAAGGAAGCA